AGCACCACTATCTAATAATTCTGGAGATCTCAAGTCCATTAGCAGGCCACTAAAATCAGAATGGACAGAGCGAAATCCTTTCTTGAAAGATGAATGTTTTTGTCTTGCTCAAAGCCAGTGTGAGTGGTCTGCTCTTTTTCTTGATGCCATCTCTCTGGTCTGTCACCGTGGCTCCTACCCTAAATCTTCTATATCCTCCACATCTGGTAGGAGTACTCAAGGAGCACAGACAGGGAATCCTTACCTCACAGTGGCTAGCCAGACCAGCTCTTCCAGGGAACGCCCTTCCCGTGGTGTACAGAAACCAGGCAGACAGCAGAGGGCACTCTTGAGCCACAAAGTTAAAAGAACAAGAACATTCCCTCCGGAGTGGAGCCTTTTCCACACAGGGGTGCTCCAATTAGAGACCCGTTTCCGTAAAGGGGAGAACATCCAAGAAAGACACACAGCATTAACCTTTGGCCTCCACAAGTACCTGCACTCAGTACACACACACAATTTACCTTATTGGTGACTTTAATTCCACATTTTCTTGAGGATGGGAGTTATGGATGCCTTGGGAGGAGCTTTATTTTGCCTATCAAAAGAGCAACATAGAATTTGCATGTGAAACTGCTTGCCCTAGCTGCAGTTACCTGTTCTTGTCTTGTGCTTTTGCCACTAAAAGAACATGGAAGACAGGTTGGTTTGTTGCCTTTCAGCTTCTAGAATGCAGACCTCATAAGGACCAAGATGTCTGTTGTGGCCCAGGGCCTGCCACCAGGTACATGTCCAGATCATGCTGTTGACTGACAGATGGTAGTTAAAAGTCTAACATGCTACTTTCATTTCTTACCACCGAATGATAGCTCCAAGTGCTTTCCCTCCTAGAAGCTGTAGAAAAAAAACTCCAACTGGAAGTCACACATGCAGAGAGACAAAGACAGGGGTATTCACCCCACCCAGCCCCCATACACCAACAACAATTAATGAAAAATAAAGAGGACATGAATTTGAAAAAGATCAAAGAAGGGTACATGGGAGGGCTAGGAGGGAAGGGGAGGAGAGGGAGTGATAAAACTATATTATAATATCAAAAAAAATCAAAGAAAAATACATCTGTTACACTAAAAACGAAAAGGTCGGGAAATCATAGGACGGGGTAGCGTGAGCCCATCCTGAAACCATGGATATGGAAAGAGGATTGGGCAGTGGAGAGCACTGGCTCCTGGAGAGGATCTGGGTCTGGTTCCAAACATCCAGGACGGGTGGTAACTCACGCCTGTAACCTGGTGGCCTCTCCCAGCCTACCCAGGCACTTACATGCAGTAGGTGCAGACATGTACACGTAAACTAACACACACACACACACACACACACACACACACACACACACACAAAGCTGCTTTTAAGAGTTACTCCACCGTATCCAGTGAGGTGCTGGGGAGGGGTGACTCAAGGCCCTCAGGCCCCAATTTGGCAGATAGGCGCTGAGTTTAAGGAAGTCACAGCCTCACCTCCAGCATCCTCCGTTCCCTCCTGGTGCGCCGCTTCCTCCTTGCAACTGTATTGCCACTAGAAAGCAAGGGTAGCGCGCCACCGCCCTTTGGCAGGTAACAGCAGAGCATTAAGGGAGCACTGGCGAGGATAGAAAATAGTAGATCTGGGTTTTCAGTCCAGGCTATCCAGCCCTCACTCGTATGGCCCCTTAATGGACTGGAGAACCGTGGCTTCTGGCCCCTTGTGATGCGTTTTAGCGACCTGCAGCAGACAAAGGAAGTTATGTTCAAGAACACATCAATCCACAATAGACTGAAGAGATTACAGGGACGGGGGCTGTAAGGTAGCTTGGGTTCTATGGGGTAGAAAGACAACAACTCTGGCTTCCTGGTTTCCTGGCTTCCTTTCTCCGGCTCTTCCGCTATATGCCCTTCCCATGGTGTACAGAAGCCAGGCGGACAGCAGAGTGCACTCTTGAGCCACAACTGTAAAAGACCAGCAATAAATTCATTCCCGATACTAGGGCCTCTTCCACACACAGCTTGACAATAAGGAGAGCTGGGGAAACAAATTCACAGGTAACTCTGTGAGATCCTTGTGCGCCTCAGACCCTCGACTGTCCTTCAGGACCCAGGGCCTTGCTCCAAGGCTTTTCCATCTGAGATCAGTGCCTCCTGATGCGAGAGGGCCCTTCCCACATCACACTGTTGGGCTGCCCATGGAAAACGCTTCAAAACCAGCATGCTGTTGGCTTACCGGGACACCTCTCTGAGGAGGAGCCACCTGGTCCCCAGAAGGGCTGGGGAAGTGCCACAGTGGTAGAGCAGTAGCGAATCATTCCTACACAGACAGACACCACAGACACATACACACCACACACTCACACCTGCCACCCACACAACACATGCACACATACCACAAACACACCACCACACACGCACACATACTTACACCACGTACAGACATTAGTGCGTGCTCTAGTCTTTGTTCAGCTCTCATAATCTGTCTGTCCCGTGACAAAAGCGGCCTGACATGCTTGCCGTGTGGATGTTGTTCCTTTGGAAAGTTAACACGTTTTCCCCCCTTGAATAAGAATAGCTGGGAGATTTGGGGTCCGAGGCTGTCCTTAGAGTATTTCAAAACAGATTAATTTCTTTCTAGCAGTCTATTCTTGTGATACAAAACATGGTTTTTTTCATTGTGTCTGTCTAACCGTCACAGGGCAAAATCAAGTGATTGCTTTGGGGCTCTGGGCTCCTGTTTGTAAAGACCTGGTTTCCTTTGCCAGACACACAGAAACATCTGAACTTGGGCCTGTAGCGTCAGAAGTTTTCTTTTCAGCCTCTCCATAAGTCAGTGAGCAATGTGAAGACCAGGATTCTTAACTGTTTGAAGTCCGGTGCTGAGTCCCCAAGCCTGAGGGCCATGCTTGGCTTGTAGGAGCTTGTGAGTGTGTTACGCAGGTCACGTTGCTGTGACAGAACACCTGGAGAAGCACCTTAGAAGACAAAGGACTTATTTGAGCTCGTGTGGTCAGAGGTCTCAGTCCACGGTCACTTGGGTTCCATTGATTTTAGACCTGCCGTGAGGTAGAATGCCCTGGCAGAAGGGCATGGCGGGATAGAACTGCTGGCTTCGTGGTGAGCAGGAAGTGGAGTGACCAATAGGAAAGGTTGGGGAATAAAATGAACCTGTATAAGGCACGCCCCCGGTGAGCCTCCTGAGGAGCCAGTCCTCCTGTGAGCTCAGGTTCCAGTAGGACACCGACTCCCACGGAGACCCACTGTTCCCGACCATCTATTCCGGCATACCTTACCAGCCGTCCACACCGAGCGGCTGCCTTTGTCGCGAGGGATTGCTGCTTCACTTTATCCACAGGCGCTGGGGGATCATTTCTTATCAGCGCTCAGAAAATGTCTCTGAAGACTGAACGTATTAAGCAGTTACAGCCTGTGAGTTGTGCTTTAGGCTCGGTGCTTTTCCAAGAGCGATCCAAAAGTTTCGTGTAGAGCCTCCGTACGATACTTGCCAGGTAAGGAAATGCAGAGCCAAGGCCTGCCACCGTCTCAGGCGTCACAGACAGGCTTGAGTCCTAAACAGCCATAATCCCAGTGACAGTAGGCAGTTATCCCGAAATGGGGAGGTGCCACAGATGAAATTATCCGACGTCTAGTCATTTCTTCCCAAGTATACCCTTGTGTGGGTTTTGATCTTTATTATATTTAGAGACTGTAAATATTTCACTGCATTTGAAAATAATTTATGGATTAGATTTTTCTCACATCCCAAGAATTCTTGAGCTTTGCATCAGTGCCGGGAATCGTAGCCAGAAGAGAGAGGGTTGGGGAGAAGTGTTTATAGCTGAAATGACTATAAAAGCAGAATTGTAAAAATCTTTTCAAAATCCTTTTTGTGCCGGGGGGGGGGGGGGGGGGGGGTGGCAGCGAATGCCTTTAATCCCAGCAGTTGGGAAACAGAGGGGGGGGGGGGTGTCTCTGAGTTTAAGGACAGCTTGGACTACAGAGTGAATTCCAGGACAGTCAGGACTACACAGAGAAACCCTGTCTCAAAAGAATTTATCTGTGGTGTGTGTGTGTGTAGCGTGTATGTGCATGTATATATGCGGGTGCCTGTGCACATGAATGTGTGTGTGTGTGGAGGATAGAGGTTGACATCTGCTGTCTTCCCTGGTTGCTCTACACCTTATTTTCTTAGTCACGGTGGGTGCCTGACTGAACCAAATAAGCTAGGGTCGGTGACTGAGGAGTTCCAGGGACCTTTATGTCTCCACCTTCCTAGTACTGGGGGTAGAGACTGGCTGCCACCGTTGGCTCCTGTGAGAATGCTGAGGACCCAAAGGAAGGTCCTTACACTAACGTAGAAGGTGCTTTGCCAACTGAGCCGTCTGTCCGACACCGCTCCCCTTCAGAGGGCGGAAAGGCTACTCCGTGATAGAGTTGGACTACTTTAGTATCTCTGATTGGTGTGGCACAAAGCTCTAAAGGTTAGAGAGGCGGGGCCTGTGAATACCTTGTTAGAGCTGCCCATCAAATTCTCGTAGAGGGGCTGGGGAGACGATGGCTCAGTGGTTGGCAGTGCTTGCTTCTCTTGCAGAGGAGCCACGTTTGTTCTCAGCATTAACACCAGTTGGCTCACAATCACTTCTAACTCTAGCTCCCGGCGACTCAGTGCTGTTCTGACCTCCGAGGTAACAGCACTCACATGTATTACAACCCCCCTCCCCACAGACTTACACCCATGATTCAAAACAGAAATACAGTCTAAAACAAACAACCTCCTGTGGAACTCTAGCATGATACACAGTATTGGCATGGGAGGGGTTCTCAAAGATGAGAAACACTGGTGCCCTTCTCTGGTGTTTTGACCAGCTCCTTGGGATGCCATTTGTAATAACCAGGATTCTTATCTGGCCAATGTAACATTATCTCTTTGACCTTTGGTGGTTTTGCTCCTTGAAGGGCTTCTGTGTTTTAACATAACCTTTCCTCTTCTTCTTTCAGGAATCCTGTTCACGATGTTGGTATTTGGACCAGCCTGTGGGTTTATTCTGGGCTCATTCTGTACCAAAATCTACGTGGATGCTGTCTTCATTGACACAAGTAAGGAGCGGATCGTAGTTGCTAAACGCGCCTACAAGCATTTCCATTCTCATAAAGGAGTCCTTAGCCTATGGGTTTCTAAGACCCTCCCACTAAGGAATATTCTTGTGCTGCTCGGCTTTCTATTACTGTGATATATATGCCTGGGACAATGAAGTCAAAACCAAGAAAGGTCTATTCTGACTCGTTTTCAGAGCCTACGTTTGTTTGGCATGTTGTTTGGGGGCCTCTGGTACGATAATACTTGATGTAGGCCCCCTACACAGATGTAGCTGGTGGGCAGCTCAGTCTTCATGTGGGTCCCCTAGTAAGGAGAGTGAGGGCTGTCTCTGACATGGACTCCATTGCCTGCTTTTTGATCACTTCCCGCTGGAGGGGCAACTTCACCCAGTCCTGATGCGACTTGATGTAGGGTGGATTGAAGTGGAGTGCCCTTTTTGTGAGGAGTAGGGGAGTGAGATAGGGGGAAGAGGGACAGGGGGAGGGAATGGGAGGAAAGAAGGGATATAAAGTGAATAGACAGATAGATAGATAGATAGATAGATAGATAGATAGATAGATAGATAGATAGATAGA